CGATTAACCCCTAGGAGTGTGTGACCAGCGAGGAGGACTGTTGCAGTAACAGGGTCCCCCGGGGGGTCGCAGCGAGCGGTCCCGGGGCGGAGGAGTCTGCAGCTCGACCCTGGCAGAGAGGGGGTGACCTGAAGAAGGGCTGGCACACTAGGGATCCCCCTGGAACGGTGGAAAGCGGAGAGCACAGGCCGGCGAGTGGCCAGCAGGAGGATGGATGGTAAACTCCTTAAGAGCGACCTGGTGGAGCTGTGCAGGCAGAGGGGGCTGCGCATTGGGAGGCTCACCAAAGAACAGCTCATTGCCCAGCTGGAGGAGAGGGATCGCTTGGATGAACCGAGCCCTGTCCCTGAGGGAAGCCGCCCGGCGGATGCAGTGTGGACCCCGGGGCCTGACATGGCTGGGAGGGGTCAGACTGCTGCCGAGGACATCCCGAGACCCTCCCTACCTATACCTAGGGGAGGGGTTGGGGGAAGCCCAGCGAATACCGAGGACACCCTGACCCCGGCGGCCAGCAGGGGATCGTCCCGGCGGAGCTCCCCGTCCCGGGAGCGGATGCGACTGGAATATGACAGGGAGCTGAGACGGAAAGAGCTCGAGTTAAGGCAGCAAGAACTGAAGCAGGAGCGGGAAGAGAAGGAGAAACAACGTCAGCATGAGCTGGAACTGGCCAGTCTGAGGAGCAGTGAGGCCCCGGCTGCGGTGAGCGAGGGGGGACCCAAGACTGCAAAGAGCTTTGATAAGTGCTTCCTGGCCCAGCGTAAGGAGGGGGAGGACATGGATACCTTCCTGACGGCCTTTGAGAATACCTGCGAGCTGCTCCAGGTTGACCCTGCAGACAGGCTCCAGTTTCTCATCCCCTCACTGGACCCCACAGCCAGGGAGGTGTACAGCCGACTGAAAGGGGCGGAGACGGGACTATGAACTGTTCAAAAAGGCCCTGCTCCGCGAGTTTGGGCTGACCCCTGAGATGTACTGGAAAAGGTTCCGGGGTCAGCGTAAAACCCGTGAGGTCACATACCTACAACTAGCCAACCGGGCGCAGGGGTATGCCCGCAAGTGGACAGCTGGGGCCCAAACTATAGAGGACCTGTTTGACCTAGTCGTACTGGAGCACGTGTATGAGCAGTGCCCATCTGACCTGAGGCGATGGTTGATGGACCGAAAGCCAGAGAACCCGCAGCACGCAGGCCAGCTGGCCGACGAGTTTGTGAACAGTCGGGCAGGGGATAACAGGGAGGAGTCCCAAAGGAACAGGCCTGCCACAACGCAGAGCGAGTCACCATGGGACCTCCCAGCAAGGAAATATGGAGAACACCCACCAAAGGGGAACATCCAGCGTCAGGTCCATCCGACCCGCTCGAGGGGACCCACGGGACATGGGCTGTTATCACTGTGGCCAGAGAAGCCACATACGGGCCCAGTGCCCCAGGCTCAGGGACAGACTGAGCAGACCGAACCCACAGAGGGTTGACTGGGTAGAGACCCAGTCGGACCAGGGGCAGCGTTCCCCGGCCAGGGGGGCTGGCAGAGTACCACCTGCTAAGGAGGGAGGAGAGCTCCAGGCCAGCTCCTCTGGGGGTTTTTGGTTTATACGGTGGGCGCGGGGCTGTCCCTCTGGAGAGAGTACCTTGTTCTCCTGGAGGTGGATGGGAGGAAGGTCAATGGATACTGGGATACGGGCGCAGAGGTGACGCTGGCCCGGCCCGACGTGGTGGCCCCAGATCAGGTGGTGCCCGAAACCTACCTGACCCTGACGGGTGGGTGGGACCCCATTCAAGGTGCACACCGACCACTCTCCTCTGACCTGGCTGCACCAGAGGAAAGGAGCCAACGCCAAGCTCCTAAGGTGGAGCCGGCTCCTGCAGGATTATGACATGGACGTGGTCCATGGGAAGGGATGTGACAACCTGATAGCGGACGCATTGTCCCGGAGACGGGGCCCTGAACTTCCCCAGGTCACTGGTCAGAGTGACCCCGCTCAGTTCAGTCTCAAAGGGGAGAGAGATGTGACGGAGCAGGGAGCCGGGCGGGTTTGACCTGGGAATGGAGCCTGGGAGTTACATTGAGGTACCTGAGCTGTAACCTGAGCCAGGAGGGGGGGTGGGAGAAGTGACACCTTCTGCCCGGAGACGGACAAAGGAGAGGAGGAGCAGAGGGGAGGGGGGAGAGCTGCTGGAGGGATTTGGGAGTTTTCAGTTTTGGGCTGGGAGGTGCAACGCAGGGAACCCCAAGCTGGGGTCTAAGCTCCCTGAACCCCCCAAGAGGGCCTGATTGGGGGGTCCTGGTTGTATCTACAAGCTCTGCTGTAGACTGTGTTCGTTATCCAATAAACCTTCCGCTTTACTGGCTGGCTGAGAGTCACGGTGAATCGCAGGAAGCCGGGGATACAGGGCCCTGAGTCCCCCACACTCCGCGACAGCTAGACACACACGTGTGCAGAGACCCGCAGACACGTGACACCCACACAGAGACCCGCACCCCCACCACGGCACAGAGACACTAGCCACATGCGTGTGCACAGGGACACACGCAGACACATGACACCCACACAGACACGGCTGTGGCCGGGACACAGATACAGACACACACAGTGCACGGACACAGCTGTGCTCACACTCACGGAGACTCAATCACACAAACACTGATACACACAGCCGCAGAGATACCGCTGTGCGTACACACAGAGAATGCACACACACAGCTACAGACACACACAGCTCAGCTCAACAAACACACACCCCGCCCGGGCTGGGGTCCAGGGGAAGGTGTTTGGGACGATGCTGTCGCCAGCTCGACGTCGCTGTCTGTGTCCCTGGTGCAGCCCCAGCCTGGGGGTCCCGTTCCCCAGGGGCCCAGGGCAGGTTCCCCCAGTCGGGGGCCGAGCTCTGAAAGGCCAGGCAGGGCCGTCCTTAGGATTTATGGGGCCCTGTGCAGTATTATTAAACTGGTGCCCCTGTGCCCGACGGCAGCCCGGGCTCGCCTGTGTGTTTTAGAAAAGGGGGGGTGGGTCTTTTGAAGGCTTTATTAGGAAAACTGAATGTCTGAAGATCCAAGCGTTTAAGGCTCAAGACGAATACTCAGATTGTGCATCTAAAAATCTACGCAAGGATTTTTCAGAGATGTGATTTTATAATCTTCTGCAACACACGAATGAAATATCTTTAAAGCAAATTTTAAACTCAGGTCCTGCAGAGTGACATGTTCGGAGTAACTATGACAGTGACACACAGCTGGTTTTGTCAGTAAATTCAGAACCTGTCAGTGTATCCCTGGGGGTCGGCAAACGCCTGTGAAATGGCTTCGTTACCCCTCAATGGCTCTTTAACAGTTTCACTGCTGTGCTAATGGGCCCGGCCGGCTGGAGGCTTTTTCACTTTCAGTTCCTAGATCCCCTCAGAGCAGTGGTTCCCAAACTTTAACAACCTGTGAACCCCTTTCACTAAAATGTCAAGTCTCATGAACCCCCTCCTAAAAATGCATATTTCCAGGGATTTTCTCCTTTACCGGAGTATAAATTATAAAAAGAAGTGATCTTGGAAATATAAAATGTGTTTTTATGACATGCTTATTACACACTATTTATTATTAATTATTATTTATCATTACAGTATTTTTATTACATTATGAAAACGGCAACATTCTTCCAAGATCTCACTTTCATAGCTTGTATCACTTTGAATAAGTCTGTTATAACTAAGACAAGGCTCCTATGTTTCATCAAGGAGTATCAGATGCGAAACAGCATGAACGTATTTAAGAAGCCAACTCAAAGAGTTCCTCCTACACAAGCACTCAGGTCTTGAGCAGTCCAGGAAAACAACGCACGTTACAACAAAGCTCAAATTAGTTCTTCATAATAATTTTAAAAACAATACTAGCTGCTTATTTATTTTAAAAACAACAACAACAAAAAATCCACCTCCCTTTCCATTTCTTATAAGGAGTTTTGAAGTTTAAATTTCCTCAGTGTGATCGATATGCTTGCTTTGAGCTGCTTAGCTCTTGGAAGTCTAGAGGCTCCGGGCTGCTTGCCCCGTGCTGCCCGGGGTCCCTATGGACAACTCTGTCCGCCATTAGGGAATTTTTTCCCAAGAACCCCCTGTAACACTTCATGAACCCCCAGGGGTTCATGAACCCCAGTTTGGGAACCACTGCCTCAGAGGAACCTCACCAGGCCGCAGCAGCCAGGGGTGGTAGGAGCCTGCGGGAAGGGTCAGAACAGGGAGAGGTTAGGGTTGCCATATTTCAACAATCGAAAAAGAGGACACGGGGTGCCACGCTAGCCCCGCCCCCCCCACTTCCCATCCACCTCAGAATCCCCCTAAACCCTACCTGTCCCCCCCCACCCTAACTGCCCCCAGGACCCTACTCCCTAAGTCTCCCTGCTCCCTGTCCCCTGACTGCCCCAACCCCGACAGCCCCCCCAGAACTCCCAACCAATCTAACCCCCGTTCCCTGTCCCTTACCTGCCTCAACCACTCTCTACACCCCCTTCTCCTGACAGCCCCCCCGAACCCCCGACCAATCTAACCCCCCTTTCCCTGTCCCTTACCTGCCTCGACCACTCTCTACACCCCCTTCTCCTGACAGCCCCCCCGAACCCCCGACCAATCTAACCCCCCGTTCCCTGTCCCTTGCCTGCCCCCCCCCCCGGCCGAGGGGGAGCTGTGGGCTCCTCGTGCAGCCAAACACTGGGGCGCTGCTCTGCGGGTGCGGGGGAGGGACTCTGGCTGCTAGAGGCCCCAGTGGCTGCGAGCGGCTTTCAATCAGGCCCAGCCGTCCAATCAGCCGCATCGCACTCTGCATGAGGGGAAGGGGGAAATCCCGAACATTTCTACCTTATTAGAAATCCCCCCGGACGGCCATTTACAGCTGAAATTCCGGAATTGTCCGGGGAAACCCAGACGGGTGGTAACCCTAGGATAGGAAGGGGGCCCCGACTGACCCCCCGCGCCCCAGCCTCTCGCTGCCCAACTGAGACTCTCCCCCGCCCCCTGCAGCCTCCGTCCTGGGCTCCTGCCTCCAGCCGGCGCCGGCCCAGACCCCAGTGACCATCGTCCTCACCCCGCCGAGCCCCGTGGTGGGAGGGGGCGTCAGCCTGGCCCCGCAGCCACCGCCACAGGGCTTCGTGTCCTGCAGCTGGCACCGATCACCGATCAGCACTGATGGAAACCGCCGGATCCTCACCTACTTCCCACCTCCAAACCCCGTTCAGAACAACGGCTCGGCCCACACGGGGCGGGAGACAGCGGGGCCGGGCTGCGTCCTGAACATCGCGGGGTTAACGCTCAACTACACCGGGAACTACACGGTGCAGATACAGAGCCGGACTAGTCCTGATCTCTACATCACGGTGCATCTGCCCGTCTATGGTAAGTGTCACCCCCCGACCCGGGAGCTGCGCTGACCCCGTCCGTGTCCCCGCCCACCCCATCCCTGCCCCAGCGATGGGGCTCTGGGTGTCTCCCCCGGGGATGAGCCCAGCTGGTGAGGAGCTGTCAGAGTCTGGCCCCCCCACGGTGGGGGTGTCTCCTGATCCCCAGGGTGTCTCTGACCCCTCCCTGTTTCCCCAGAGCTGCAGGCTGCACAGTGGGGTGTGTACGACCAGCTGCGGAGATGAGCCCCCCCTCCCCCCTAGGGGCCCTGGTGCATGCTGGGAAGACCCCTGTATCACGGGGGGGGGGGCTCAGACCCACCTGCTCTTTTATAGCCGCTTTGCTAAATGGGAGCCAGCACCCCAATTCCAGCACCTCTGATGATTCCCCCCCCCAGGTTCAGGCCACAAGAGCAAGACCCCCAGGCGGAGCGAGATGACCCCCCCAGAGTACGAGAACCAGCCCCCCGCAGCCCGGGCGGGCACAGCGGTGAGTGACAGGTGCTCAGGTCTCCTGCTGTCCCAGCCCTGGGATCCCCCCTTCCCAGACCTCGGCCGGGGTGTCACAGCTCTGCAGGCCGGTGCCCTCACCCGGCTCTGAGACATTCCCTGGGGACCCCGTCAGCCTGCTGGTCCTTGGGGTCCCACTCTCCCTGGGGTCAGCCCCTCGGTTACCCCGCCCCCGGGGCCAACCCTTTGAGCCTGCAGCCCCCTGGGTCACCCCAGGAGCCCCCCTGGGTAGGACACAGTGGTGCTGGGACAGTTTTTGGAGTGGGGGTGCTGAGCTGTACCCCCCTTACCCCGTCCGTGCCCCTCACTGCCCCCTGGAGCTGGGGTCAGGAGCCGTGGCTCTGGGAGGGGGGGACACAGACAGGTGTGAGGTGGCGGAGGCTGGGGCCACAGCTGGGGGGGTGCGGAGCCCCAGGCGTGGGGCTGGCAGCCGGGACCCCACATGCAGGGCCGGCGGCCGAGTGGGACCCGGGGCTGGCAGCGGAGCCCCAGGCAGTAGCGGGACTGGTGGCCGGGACCCAGGCAGCAGGGGCACAGGGCTGGCGGCTCACTCCCGACCCGCAGCCCTCTCCCTTCTCCCCTCTCTCTGAGGGGGTCAGGAGTGTCCCAGTCTCCTGGGGCTCATCAGCCCCCTTCCCCCGGGCTCGTCTGGGGGCGTCTCTCGGGTCCAGTGACCCACCTGTCTCATTCTCTTCCCCAGACCCCGCCCAGGAGCCCCCCAGACACCAGCTCCACGTATGAGGTAGGTGCCAGCCTGGGGGTCCGAACTTGATGTGGGGAGAGGGGAGCTGCCCCCCATATAGGCCCTGTGGCTGAGAACGGGGCTGGTTATCACATCTCTGGAATATGGGGGGTGGGGACAGAATCACCCCCTGAAGGGAAGGGCTGGGGCCCAAGGCTGGGTGAGGGGCTATGAGGGTTCCCAGCTGGGGGTGTGATAGGGAGGGGGCCCCGTGTTGGCAGGGGGGCTATAGGGTACCGAGGGGAGAGGGGCCCCAGGGGGATGGGCTGTTGGGGCTGGGGGGAGGCCCCTGGGGGGTATCCCCAGCTTCCCAAGAGGCATCTCTGACCCCTCCCCATTTCCCCAGACGCTGCAGCCCGGACAGTGGGACGTGTACGACCAGCTGCAGAGATGAGGCCCCCCCAGTGCCCTGGTGCATGCTGGGAAGATCCCTGTATTGTGTGTGTGGGGGGGTCTCTGCCGCGGGTGTCAGACCCACCTGCTCTTTTACAGCCACTTTGCTCAGTTCACTAACCACCCCCCGCCCTGGGGGGTCACTAGTCCCGGGGGGGCTCTGGGACAAGCTGGCATCCAGCCTGGGGGGGAGGGGCCCCCTCTTAGCCTTCGGGTTGAGCCAGGGCCAAGGAAGCGGCTGGAGGAGAGACGCTGGGATCCCACAGCGGGGTGTGGGGGGGTAGGGGCTCCCTGAAGTCTCTCCCCAGAGGGCCCCTGGCTGACCCCAGAGCGGTTGCAGTGGGTCTGTCACAGGAACCCAGCGCAGCCCTGGCCATGTGCCCCCATTGGGGGGCCCAGCGCAGCTGTGGGGTCTGGGACCGCAGGAGAGGGGGGCAAGTTACCACCAGGACTGCGATTACTCTGCCATGCACGGTGCGGGGGCAGCCCGGCTGCTCGGTACCGGCCAGAGCCCGTTTTCCCCTTTCTGCACCGTGAGCATGTGTCCTGGTAGCTCCAACTCGGCAAGTGCCGGGGCCCAACGCCAGCCTGGGGCGTGTCCACCCAGCTGTGACAGGAGCTGTGGGAGCGCGAATAGAGACCCAGAGTCATGCCAAGGAGAGCCTGGTGCATGTTGGGAGCCCAGTGCATGCTGGGAGGCCTCACAAAAATCCCTGAAAATGTGACCCAGATATGACCAGCGCTGCCTGAGTCTGCAGAGAGCCTGAGCCGATTGCTCTGGGAGAGCCAACAGCTGCCCCATCCCTGTCTCTGTGATGTTAACTCTGGTCCCTATTGACAACAGGGCTGTGCTCTTAACACTTTCGTTTCTGGTGACTTGGGAACATCCAGCCAATGGGTCAACCTCCCAGCTCTGCCCCACCCCCAATTCCCAGCTGCGGGCGGTGCGGAGAACGGGCAGCAATACCCGGTGGGAGGGGCCGAGGGTAACCGGCAGGAACAGGAGCGGGTGGGGGGCCTGTGAAGGAGCGTGAGACCCAGTGACAGACACCCCCGGGAAGTCACCCCCCCACATGACCGCACACACACAGACACACACACTGTTCCCTAGCAGCCGAAGGGGAAGTGGGCGGGTGCGGCTGGGAGGGACAGTCTCAGCCAGGAGGGGCCCTGTGGGGCTGCTCTGCCTGTGGGTCCAGGCTCCCAGCACAGACACCCCCACCCCCGCACTGGATCGAGATGGGTCCTTGGTGCTGGAACTAGGGGGCTGCCGCACCCCCGGCCGGACGTGGTTTCCATCATACGCAGGGTTTGCAGTTTGGGTCAATGGCTCTCAGCCCCCCACTGTCCATATGGCTCCAGCCCCCCGGGTCCTGCTGCAGCGAAGGGCAAAGCCCAGAGGGTCCCAGCCCAGGGGTGCAAATCAGGCCTGGCCCAGCGGGGCCGCCCCCCGGCTCACCAGGAGGGGGGCCGAGAGCTCCCTCCCGGGGCAGCCCCTGTCCGGCTGAGCCCTGCGGGGGGCTGGGCCGCGCTTCGCCAGCAGGGGGCAGCAGCGAGTGCCCAGCCCGGCCGGGCTCCGGGCCAGATGCACCCGGGTCCCCTTGGCCCTGCTGGGGCCGGATCGCGCCGGGGGCTCCCTCGGTCTGGCTGCTTCGCGGGTGGGCCTTTGCTCCCCTCTGATCCCCCCCGACCCCCCTCCACAGGCAGCACAACCCCCTGCTCAGCCCTCAACAAGTCAGTGATCGGCCCCCCAATTGCCCAGTATCCCCCTGGGGCGCCCAGCCCCTGGTGCTGCCACTGGCCGAGTTCCCAGCTCCACCTCAAGGACTAGGACCCCCAGCTGAGCAGTGACCCCCCCCCAGCCAGCGCCCCGCTCAGCCCCGGCAGGGCCAGGCCTTACAGAGAAAATCAGGCTGAGTGTCTGGACCAGAGCCCAGAGCTGGGAGAAGGAGCCGCTGGGGGCTCCTGTTATTTACTCCTCATAACACAAGAACTAGGGGCCAACAAATGAAATGAACAGGCAGCAGGTTTAAAACAAACACAAGGAGGTATTTCTTCACTCAACACACAGTCAGTCTGTGGAACTCCTTGCCAGAGGAGGTTGTGAAGGCCAAGACTAGAACAGGGTTAAAAAAAGAACCAGTCCAGTTCATGGAGGATCGGTCCATCAATGGCCATTAGCAAGGCTGGGCAGGGATGGTGCCGTAACCTCTCTTTGCCAGGAGCTGGGAATGGGCGACAGGGGATGATCACAGGATGGTTCCCTGTTCTGTTCATTCCCATCGGGGCACCTGGCACCGGCCACGTTTCAAAGACAGGACACTGGGTTAGATGGACCTTTGCTCTGACCCAGTCTGGCCGCTCTTATGTTCTTATGGAGTTAACTGGACAACGGGTGTGACACGAAGTGGGACTGTTTTTAATGTTTTCACTGAAAACTGTGTGGGTGCCTCAGTTTCCCCTATGCATTTCTTAAGTCTCTAGGGGGTGAGATTGTTGCAGAGCAAAGGGCCAGTGCACATAAATGGCCGACACTCTGTCTCCTGGCAATTAATGGCCGGGGCTCTTCCCCCTGCAAGGTGATGCTAAAGGTGTTGGAGAACAAAGAGATCAGGTGACCTCTGGCCCGGGAAAGAGGAGGAGGGGCTGGAGGGGGTTTCAGTTTGGAGCTGGCTGGGGACAGGAAGTGAGGGCAGACGGGGGTGTCTGGCTCACTGGGCCCCAGAATGGACCCAGCTGAGGGGTCCCGTTCGCTGGACCTACAAGCTCTGTTTTAGACCGTGTTCCTGTCATCTAATAAACCTCTGTTTTACTGGCTGGCTGAGAGTCACGTCTGACTGTGAAGTGGGGGTGCAGGACCCTCTGGCTCCCCCAGGACCCCGCCGGGGCGGACTCGCTGTGGGAAGCGCACGGAGGGGCAGATGCTGAATGCTCCCAGGAGAGACCCAGGAGGTGAAGCCGTGTGAGCTTCTTGCCCTGAAGACGGTCTGCTCCGAGGGAGAGGAGACTCCCCAGAGTCCTGCCTGGCTTTGTGGGGAGCAGTTCCAGAGCATCGCCCGGGGACTCCGGGACAGGGTGAGATGGAGAATAAACTGGGAACGCGCGTCCCAGCGCCCCGACATCCCGAACCCGCTCCTGGCAGCTCCTGCAGGGTAGAGCCCCCCCCCCCCAGTGTCCAGCTCCCCCCCGCTCCGACTCTCCCTGCAGGAAACAAACCCGTTGGCAGCTGCTCCCCTCGGGGCAGGACCCTGGGTGCCCCCCGCCCCCCACGATATCTCCCCCCAAGCCAGCGTCTGTCCTCAGAAACACCATCCTCCACGCGCGCTTTTCCCTGCCCGCTGCTTCCCCAGGGCTGGTGCAGACACTGCTGGGGCCTGGCTCCGGGTGGAACCAGCTGCCTGGCGAGCTCGGCACCACCCAGCGCCCCCGGAGCCGGGCACAGAGAGAACGGCCCGGTGCCTCCTGTCTGCCAGGGACAGGCCTGGTGCCTCCCGCTGCCCGGCTGGAACCAGCCCCTGGGACCCAGGCCAGACACAGCTCCGGCTGTGCCCCCGGCACACGGCTCACCACGGTCACCGCGCCCAGCGCTGCCGGTCCTGGGCAGGGACCTTCCGAGCCCCTTTGGGGGCTGGTCTGGAGACGTTAGAGCCGGGGGCCCTGTGAACCCCCCGGCACCCTGTGCCTTGCGCTGGGGGGCAGGAGGGGGCGTCACTTTTTCAGCTCCTCATACACGTCCGGCTGTCGGGGCTGCAGCATCTGGGGGAAACGGGGACGAATCAGCCAGAGATACCCATGGGGAGAGCTGGGAACCCTGCCCTGCAGGACCCAGGCCCCCAGCTTCCCCCACGGGCCCCAACAGCCCCTCCAACCTCAGGGGCCCATCCCCCCACCGAGCCCCAAAAGCCCCAGTGATGGGTCCCCCAGCCCCTCCCTTCAGCCCTGGGGCTCCCGGCTGGTCCCCCTCTGGCTCACTCTGCCTCCCCCATTCTCAGCCATAGGGCTTGTTGGGGGGCAGCTCCCCCCTCCCCCCACTAGGTCCAAACTCCCCTCAGGGGGAGGATACAGAGCAAGGGGCCGGCGCTCACCTGGTATGTGGGGCTGGGGTCAGGGGGGATCCTGGGCTGGGCCTGGGGGAGACAGTGGCAAGGGAGTCGTTAGCACCAGACCCCAGAGACCCTCCAGCTGAGCTCAGGGGGTGGAGGGGGACGGGACCCTGGGACAGTCAATGGGACCCAGGGTTTGTGTAACCCCCCCACCCCCACCCAAAGGGGACAGGGTAAACTGGCTGGGGGCTGCAGGTCAGGACTGAGGGGCACCCACAGAGCACTAGCAGGGGGTGGGTCTGAGCCCTTGTCACTCACCACTGGCCCCGCCCAGGCTGTAGGGGGCAGGTTTTCGTACACCAGGACGGGTGCCCCGTTCTCCTTGTGGGTCTCGTTCCAGCAGCAAGAGTCTGGGAGGAATCAGAGATGCTGGAATTGGGGTCCTGGTCCCAGCCCCCCCCCGCTCTAATCCACCAGCCCCCCCCTCCCCTCTCAGAACTGGGGATAGAACCCAGGAGTCCTGGCTCTCCGGCGGGGGAGGGGGGGGCTGTTACTCACAGAGGAAATAGACCCCGACTCCGACCAGCACTGCCCCCGCTAGTGACCCAATGACGATCCCGGCGATGGCTCCAGCAGAGAGAACTGGACGAGGGGCATCTGGAGGAGAGATGCCGGGGGGGAGGTTGGATCAGACGTTCAGCCACAATCCCCCCACCCGGCTCCCTGCAGCCTGGCACCGCCTAGCACCGCACTGGGGCATTGGTGCCAGCACTGGGATCCCTGTGTCTGCAGCGCGTTGCTCCATCCCGGGGACTCACCCGTCCCTGTCACCCGCACGGCGACAGACGCCCAGGCAGTGCGGCCGGTGACGGGGTTGTGAACCCGGCACTCGTACGTGCCCTGGTGATCCAAGGTCGTGGGGTTAAAGGTCAAGCTGCTCCCGGTCTCCTTAGTGTCGGTGCCATTGAGAACCCAGCGATAGCTCAGGGCTGGGATAGAGTCGGCGACACACGTCAGGGTCAGAGGGGACCCAAGAGTCAGGGCGATTGGTGCTGGCGGGTCTATCCTGGTAGAGTGCGGCCCATCTACACAGAGAGGGACAGGGTCAGGGGATGGATGGCACCAGTGAGGGGTCCCCCTATAAACAGCCCCCCGCCCCACCCCAGATTCAGCTGCATCTCCATGGCTGGGCAATGCCGGCAGGACCAGGGGCAGGGCGGCCGGGGGACGGGGCTGCAGTTACTCACAGGCCACCGTCACGGTGCTGGGCTCGCTGCGGTTGGTGCTGACGGGGTTCCCGACCTTGCACTGGTAGGTGCCGGCGTCGTCCCGGATGGCACCCAGCACCGTGAGGGTCCGGTTGTCAGGGGACAGCCCCAGCCGCTCACTGGGCACGAGGGATGCCCCATCCCGGAGCCAGAGCACGGTGTCGGTGCTGGGGGAGCTGTTACACGTGAGGGTGAAGGTCCCGTTCTCCAGCACCAGGGTTTGGTTTGGTGTCACCGTGGGCCTGGGCAGCATTTCTGTGCAGGGAACAGAGAGAGCGTTACCATGTGTCCGTGTTGCTCCATGCGGGATTGGGGCTGCTGTCCTGCGGGACTGGGGCAAGGGTGGTGGTGTTGCTGCCATGTGAGGTTGTGGGAAGGGTCCTTTGCCCTTTGCCCCTCAGAGCCGTGGAGATGGGCGGTCGCCTTCTGGGGTCCGGCAGAGGGTCCCTCTCCCTGGCGTTGAGTCTCACAGTTATTGGTACCTCCCTGATGCTCTGGCTCCCGGAGTCCTGTGATTTTTGAGAGACTCTCGGCTGTGGTTCAAAGGGAGAGCGACGCTCCGGCTCCCAGGCTCCGGCCCAACAGCAGGGTTTTCAAGCCGATCCCATGACAGTTCAGGCCGGACTCAGTCGCGACCCCACAGGTTTCTTGGTGCCACTGGACGCCCCGTGGGCACAGCCCTGTGCTGGTTCCTTGCTATCCCCTCCGACCCGGACGGCGCTGCCCACTCCAGACCCAGGCCGGGGGTGGGGGTGACCCCGCTGGTGCATCATGGGCAGTCAGCCACAGCCGCTCTCACTGACCCCGGGGAGATCAGGGAGACCCAGTGGGGTGACGGGGGCAGCCCCCCAGCCTAGCATTGCCCCCCATTCCTACCCAGCCCCATAGCTCAGCAAGGGCCTCACAGCCCCAGGCCCCCTGGGTTCTCCCCACGACCCACGAGAGTCCAAATGGGGAGGGGGCGTCCGGACTCCACTGGCTAAAGTGACCCCGCTCAGTTCGGTCTCGAAGGGGGGAGAGATGTGACGAACTGGGACTGTTCTTACTGTGGTCTGTGAATGCTGACAGGGGAGTGTGGCTGGGATAGTCTGCATTGGGGGATGGGAGACTGACGGACCGGGAATACCTGAGCATGTAACGTGAGAACCCAGGAAGGGGTTGGAGGCCAGGTGACACCTTGGCCCGGGAAACTGAACAAAGGCTGTGGGAGGGGTCGCTGAGGGGGGAGTTTCAGGAGCTGGCTGGTGATGTGGCTGGGAGGCAGACGGGTCTCTGACCTCCCAAGGGGGCTGGGGCGCCCTGGGACCCCAAGATGGACCTAACTGAGGGGGGTCCTGTTGTCTGTGCCTGCAAGACCTGTCTTGGACTGTATTCCTGTCGTCTAAATAAACCTTCTGCTTTACT